CTGTTGCTTAATTTGTGCATTATCAATGAGAATAATTACAAATAGTGTAAATACACCCATGATCTCCCTGAACAAGCAAAGCTGGATCCCCATAGACACTTTAATCACTTGTTCCCTTGTTAGGTGAGGTAAAGAGTTGTGTATCCCTCATAGGGCATTTGTCCCCTGAGAGTTCCATGACTACATAAGTCGCTCCTGGATCCCATTATTTAACCAGTCAAATTTCCACATGACTTCATTTGGCCATATATCAGAAGGAGAAGCCCAAACACCAGAGTTGTTTGGGCCATTCATTTATTCATCTGATTTGTTAATAGTTGTTTAGTAGCAACAAGGCCTTCCCCCAAACTGTGATATTACTGAAAGCATGCAGCGATGTCCAGGGAAAACAACTCCAAATAATAGTGATGTTGATTGTGATTATGATGATCACCTCTTACCTAGTATAAGGCATCTCAGAGATTTTTAAATTTTGTCCTTATAGCAGTAGTCTTCAGGGAGGATGTTGTTGGGGCTACTTTTTTATTATTTCCATTTTATAGATAAAGATATCCTACCTCAAAGAGCTTAAGTGACTGATATAAGAAGCTTGAGCAGCAGGACTAGAATTCTTGTTAGCTGATTCCACTTCCAGGACTGGCATTCTTGTTATCTGATTCCAAGACCAATAGTATATTTTTCTGCATTTCTTCCTGCCTCTAGAGAACTTTAGACCTTTTGGCCAAACACTAAAGAAGAACATCCCAGTAGGGTATTTACTTTCTTTCACAGACTGAATTTCTGATTTGGGATGCACTCGCATGTGACAATGCTAAACTTGCATGTTGTATTGTTCAGGGAGTAAGGTAAGCCTACAAATCTACTAGGTCAAATCTACTGTGCATAAATTTGCATGGATAGAGGTAAGTAGGAAAATACATCAAGGCAACCATTTCTCCTTCGATTTATTCAGAGCATGGACTTGAATTTTTTGAATATTTCTTGTATCTGTTTCATACAACCAAAGGTTATATGTCTAAACACTATAGAAATCCTATTAGAATATGTATATTTGTCATATAACATAGAGGAAAATCACAAAAATACCTTCAGTCTCTGTTTTGCTAAATATAAGCTTGTATGTCTTTGGACAAATTATTCAAACTATTTCAATCTCAGTTTTCTCTTTCAGGGAATGTGATAATAGCAGCTATATTGACTACCATGTTTTAACTCTCTTTTTTCTCCTGGAAGATGTTATATTAAAACTTAAGATTTCATATGTGGAAAAGAAAGTTGGCAAAAAGTTTTTTTTTGTTTTTTTGTGAGGAAGACTAGCTCTGAGATGATGTCTGTTGCCAATCCTTCTCTTTTTGCTGAGAAAGATTGGCTCTGGGCTAACATCCGTGCCCATCTTCCTCTAGTTTATATATGGGACACCTGACACAGCATGGTTTGATAAGCTGTGCGTAGGTCTGCACCCAGGATCCAAACCCATGAGCGCCTGGCCGCTAAAGTGGAGCATGCAAAATTAACCACTACGCCACCTGGCCAGACCCAGCAAAAAGTTTTGAAATAATTCCTAGTACAATGTGTTTTTTCCCCCTAGAATTTGAGAAATCTGTATTTGTGCTATTGATTCAAACAAGTAGTTTTTTATGGAATCAAGAGGGTATCCTAGTCACCCTGCTCTGGATAAGTGGCCCTCACACCACTAGTAGCAGGAGTGAACTCTTCCTAGGATCTGCATGCCTCTGTTATGACCCTCACCTGTGTGATCACCTTTCCAACCCCCTACCCTCACCTTGAGACCCAGAGACTAATCTCATACTTATTGCTGTCACTCATCATGAAGCTGAGGATTGTCATATCAGCCCTCAACTCCTCCAAAATAATGTACATACTTCTCTGTGTATCCCCATTACTGACCCCTGTTTACACTCCTGCCCAACTCCTGAAATCATTCCACTCTGGAATTTGTAGACAGTCACCAACACAACTCAATATATATTTAACCTTTCCTCGGAAAGTCACCCTTACCTACTTGGTCTAACTGAAATCTGTCTGAGTCCTGGGACAGTGCTTCCCTTGTATCCATCTCAAGTGGTAGCAATTTTCTCTCCTATAACCACCTCACTACTGACTCTCATTTTTTTGACCTTGTAGCATTTTTCTGTCTAAACTCTTCCTTTGGTGGTGTTATTTAACCTGGTAGGTTTAATATTATATAAGTATTTTGAGCCATTAGAAATTGCCAACATAGTTCACATTAACATAATCTGAGGCAGTCAGCTCTCTATTCTGAACTCCAGACTTGTATATCCAATTATTTATGCCACATTTCTACTTGGATGGCCAAAAGGAATCTCAAACTCATTGAAATGTTCTCTTTTCCCCCTTTTCCCACACATCTGCCTCTTCTACATCATTCTGTGTATCGCTATACAAAAGTAGGAGTCAACATTGACCTCTCTCTTTCTCTAATACAAATATTCAATATATAAGGACATCCAGTCAGCTCAACTTTTGAGATATATCCAGAATTGAATAATTTTTCATTCTCTCTCTCTCACCACCACCTTGGTCTAAGCAATCATCATCTCTTACCTAGAATATTATAGTGGCCTCCTAATTTTTTTTTTTTTTTGAGGAACATTGGCCATGAGCTAACATCTGTTGCCAATCTTCCTTCCTTTTTTCCTTTTTCTCCCCACATCCCCAGTAGATAGTTTATGTCATAGTTGTACGTCCTTCTAGTTGCTCTATGTGGGACTCTGCCTCAGCATGGCTTGATGAGTGGTGGGTAGGTATGCGCCCAAGATCTGAACCCGTGAACCCTGGGCTGCCAAAGTGAAGTACGCCAACTTAACTGCTACATCACTGGGCCAGATGGCCTCCTAATTTTTGTAGCTCTTTTCATCTTATGCTGATAAATTCATTTACCAACATATCTACTAAAGTGATATTTTTAAAAAAGTATTCAGATTATGTCACTTTTTATCCAAATCCTGTAGCTTTCCAATCTCACTCAGAATAAAATTCTAATAACTTAAAGTAGTTTATGAGGTCATTACGTCTTTGCCTTGCTGTACTTCTCTGACCTAACCTTCCTTTCCTCTGCAGCCATATTTTTTTTCTTGCTGTCCCTAGAACAATCTTGGCATGTTCAAACCCCAGCACCAGGCATTTTCTCTTCCCTCTGCGTGGAATGCTCTTCCCCCAGATATACTCAAGGCCTGCTCCCCTGCTTCCTTCAGGTATTTGCTCAAAAGTCTCATTTTAAAGGATGAGTCTCTCTCAGACCACCATATTTAAATTTACATCCACCTTTTTCTAACTTTGTCTATTCGTCCACTCAGCTTTTTAAAAATTTCCGTACATATTATGTATTTTTCCTATTTATTTTATTTTATATCTTCCTCCCTTTCCAAAATGCAGGTTCTGTAGAAATTGCTGTTTTTCCTTGATTTCTAGTATATATGGCATTGTACTGCTTACAGTAGCCACTCAAGAAAAGTTATTGAATGAAATTCGTGACTGGATCAAATATCTAATAGCTCTAGTAAGAACTAATCTCTTAACTGTTTAGCTAAAATTTTACAGTGGATAAAATTTTCAGCCTCCATTTTGGGAATAATCTTGATTTAGAAAAATAAGTGGAAATTTCGTAATAAGATTTTATGTAGGCTTGAAAAAATTCCCATATATACTTCCTAACATGAGTGATAATGTATCAATATTTGTATTGTTCTTATCTTTGATGGCTGAATCCAAGGTTTTTCAGGTTCTGAGAATGGAAGGGTAATGGGACAAGAAAAAAAAATCCAACTCATCTACACATTGAATTCTCCAAGAATAGATACATTTATTGAATGCTTATTTAGTGCCAGACAATAGTCTTATCACCATTTTACAGATGGGAAAACTGAGGCCTGGACCCATTAGTTAATACCCAAAGTGACTCAGAAATAAATGGATTCTTGTTTGTCACAGCTGGAATGGTCACTTATATACATAGAGAAATATCCTTACGTGAAAAATTGGAGAAGAGTATCTGAAGGACAGGAGGTTAGAAGGAATTTGGGAAGAAAGTAAATGGAATGAGTGATGTTATCAAATCTTTGACATCACCCTTATCTAGAAGCCGTATCTTATATCATCCACCTCTCCAACACCAGATACTTCAAACCCTCTGTCTGAATTATAATATGTAGTAACTTACATAGTTCGAGTTTGCGTTATCAACCTAGTGTTATGGGAGAACTGCTAGCGCAGTGATGTTGCACACTACACAAGTTCATTGATTCTGTACACAACGGAGCCTGGATTTGCATCCTTTAACATGGCTCCAGATCAGGGACATCTGAAGGCAAAAATTAAAAACTATTAATGTAATAAAAGTTAAAAACTGTTGTTTTATAGATGTCTTGGTTCCCTGTATATAAATTTCTATTCATTTCACACTATGTGGTAAATTATAAATGATGTGTGCTGTGCTATACTGAGAGACCATTTTAGTCTAAGGACATGTTTTATTTAACTATCTTTCCCTATCATATAACACTGTTTTTGATACAATGGAAAAGACAAAAAACGACAGTTGAAGTAAAATTAATTCAGTTTCACATTAATTTTACCAAGTTATTCTAGTTTACTGTGAAGAATAATTTGTTATTGTTTTATAAACTTTGAATTGGGAGTCTGAGCTGTTCCAATTAGCAACTAATCTGATGATCTTCTGTAAATCCTTTCTTTTCTTCTTTTTATCTTAATTCAGTTTTCTATAAAGTTAGGAGATTGGGATGCATTATCTCCATTTCCTTTTATCTGGGATATTCTATGATCTATCAATAATTTAAAATTGCTTTTATTTGTCATGGCCATGCTTTACATATATAGACTCCTGGAAACAAGTTATTGGAATACTGAAATAAGGCACAGAGTGATCATGCTGGGATGGATTTCAGCCGAGTCTTCCCTCTATTTGTCATTCTGATTTTATTTTCTCATTGCTACAGGGCAGCCACGTAATTCCCAATTGATCCCTATGGATAACGGTACCGAGGTGACTGAGTTCATTCTCATGGGGTTAACTGATGCCCCAGAACTGCAGATCCCACTCTTTATAATCTTCTCTCTCATCTACCTCATCACTCTGGTTGGGAACCTGGGGATGATTGAGTTGATCCTGTTGGACTCTCGTCTCCACACTCCCATGTACTTTTTCCTTAGTAACCTGTCTCTGGTGGATTTTGGTTATTCCTCAGCTGTCACTCCAAAGGTGATGGCAGGATTCCTCACAGGAGACAAAATCATCTCCTATAATGCTTGTCTCACCCAGTTCTTCTTCTTTGCAGCTTTTATCACTGTAGAAAACTTCCTCTTGGCCTCAATGGCTTATGACCGTTATGCAGCAGTGTGTAAACCCCTGCATTACACCACCACCATGACGACAAGTGTGTGTGCTTGTCTGGCTATAGGCTCCTACCTGTGTGGTTTTCTGAATGCCTCCATCCACACTGGGAACATTTTTAGGCTCTCCTTCTGTAGGTCCAATGTGGTTGATCACTTTTTCTGTGATGCTCCTCCTCTCCTGACTCTCTCATGCTCAGACAACTACATCGGTGAGATGGTTATTTTCTTTGTGGTGGGTCTCAATGCCCTCTTTTCTATCCTGGTCATCTTGATATCCTACCTGTTTATATTTAATACCATCCTGAGGATTCGGTCATCTGAAGGAAGCCAGAAGGCCTTTTCCACCTGTGCTTCCCACCTCACTGCCGTCTCCATCTTCTATGGGACAGTAATCTTCATGTACTTACAGCCCAGCTCCAGTCATTCCATGGACACAGACAAAATGGCGTCTGTGTTCTATACTATGGTCATCCCCATGCTGAATCCTCTGGTTTACAGCCTGAGGAACAAAGAGGTCAAGAGTGCCTTTAAAAAGGCTATGGGGAGGGCAAAATCTTCTATAGGATTCATATTTTAATTACATTTATTCTACAATAAGGCAGCTCACCCACTTTAGATCTATCTAGGAAAAATATTTACCTATCCATCCCCCAAATTTCTAATTTCTTTATAGTAATTTCCCCAGGTCTTTATTAAGTCTACAAAGCAAAAATCTTAAAAAAAATGAGACCTAGGAATAATAGGTTAAGAAGAATTACCCATAAACATAGAATTCTTATTTTAAAAATTCTTTTTAATAAACATGTTCACCCACACTCCCACATGAACATGCATATTCACATGTATGTTTAAGGATGTGCACACGTGTATACCATTCCTGAGAAACTCATGTAACCCACACACCTACAGATAGAGACATACATGATCTAGATCTATTGTTATATTAGAATTTAAAACAATTACTTTGGTGTCTGAGAACATATTCTTAATGTAAGTAGTTTGATTTATTTAATGGAAATATAATATATAAAGTATATACAAATACTATGTATTTGGTTTTTAAAAAATATATTTCACTTTATCCTTTGCATATGATAATGCGATAGGTTTTATATTTTTAAAAATTAACCTCTATAAAAATAATTCCAAAGACCTCGAGTGTAGATTTATTATTGCTTCCTTGTATTTGTTTTTAATGAAAATACATTTCTTTACATGGGCATTTATTTTCTTAGCTAAATTTCTATCTTAATAAATTATCTAAAATTAATATATTTATTTGGCTGTTTTAATTGAGAAATGTGTCACAATATAGGAAGAAGAAAAGGATGAGAAAGGCATATTTTAATTGAGTTAAAAATATAACATTTAAGTTTTAAATTTTAAGCACCAAGAATTAAAATAGTATTAATAACATTTATATACAAATGCTGTGAATTTATTAATGTATAAATCTGTTAATATTTTTGTCTCACTATGTTAAAATATCTGAGTCTATTTGTACTCCATTCTTTTCCTCAGATTTAGGAAGTTTTTGGCCATTATTTCTTCAAATATTCTTTTTGCCCCTTTCTCTCTCTCCTTTTGGGACTCCTACTATACATATGTTGGTACTTCTGATAGTATCCCACCTGTCTCTGTGACTCTGTTTATTTTTCTTCATTCTTTTTTTAATTTCTGTTCCTCAGAATAGATATTCCCAACTGACCTATCTTTTTTTTAAATTTTTTGTTTATTGCTGTAACATTTGTTTATAACATTGTATAAATTTCAGGTGTACATCATTATAGTTCTATTTCTGCATAGATTACATCATGTTCACCACCCAAATACTAATTACAACCCATCACCACACACATGTGCCGAATTATCCCTTTTGCCCTCCTCCCTCCCCCCTTCCCCTCTGGTAACCACAAATCCAGTCTCCGTCTCTATGTGTTTGTTTGTTGTTGTTATTTCCAACCGACCTATCTTAAAGTTCACCAACTTTTTTATTCTTCCAGGTTAATTAGCTACTGATTCACTTTGGTAAAGTGTATATTTCATTTGTTTTTCTTTTCAACTCAAGAATTTATGTTTGTTTTAACAAAATAATTTGTACGCCATTGGTAATCTCTATCTGGTGAGACGTTGTTCTCATATTTTCCGTTAATTTTTTAAAATTGGTTTTCTACAGTTCTTTGATTCTATTTATATTATCTGGCGTAAACCTTTTTAATTATTTATTTATTTATTTATTTTTCCCCCAAAGCCCCAGGAGATAGTTGTATGTCATAGCTGCACATCCTTCTAGTTGCTGTATGTGGGACGCGGCCTCAGCATGGCCGGAGAAGCGGTGTGTCGGTGTGCACCCCGGATCCGAACCCGGCTCGCCAGTAGCGGAGCGCACGCACTTAACCGCTAAGCCGCAGGGTGGGCCCAACCTTTTATTAAGTCCAACATTTGGGTTTCCTCAGAGACAGTTTCTATTGATTATTTTTTAAAACGTTTGTATTGGTTGAACTTTCCTCTTTCTTTATGTGACATATTTGTTGAAATATGGGGATTTTAAACAATAAAATGTAGCATATTCTGGAATCAGATCTCCCCTCCTCCCTAGGACTTGTTGTTGGTAGTATGCTGTTTGTTTGTACAGTGATTTTCTTAAGATTTTTATGTTAATTCTGTATTCTTTGCTGTGTGTCACCACGAAAGTTTCTACTCACTTAGCTTAGTGGTCCCCTAATGATTGAACAGATTTTGTTAAATACTTTAAGCCATTATTCTTCCAAGCCTTGTGCAGAGGTGTGTATGTGTGTGTTGGAGCGTGCCTTCAATGATCTGGCGTTTTGAATTATGCCTTAATCTACACTTCCTGCTTGTGCAGAGCCTCAAGGTCAATGCAAGATGAAATATCAAGGCTTTCCCACACCTTTCCTGTGCGTTCATATAGCATTCCACATGTGCATGATTTTTGCTCCCTAGAAATATATTGGAGCTTTTCAAAGCCTCCTTCGGATTTTTCATCTCCCTGAAAATGACTTTTTTTTTGTGAGGAAGATTGTCCTTGAGCTAACATCTCTGCCAATCTTCCTCTATTTTGTTTGTGAGATGCCACCACACCATGGCTTGATGAGTGGCGTGCAGGTCGGTGCCTGGGATCTGAACCCGTGTGTCCTGGCCCGCCAAAGCAGAGCACACAAACCCAAACACTGTGCCCCTGGGCTGGCTCCTAAAAATTACTTAAGATTTTGGTCTGATTATTGTTTGCCCCATTGGTACTGCCATCATAGGAAATTACAGTCATAAACAATGGCCACTCAATGTTTTCACAAACACGCTAGGAATAACACCCGCGCAGAGTGAACTGAGTCAGGTGAAACAAAGATAAAAAATGCGAACATGGCGTTTTTAGGGTGCTGCCAGAGAGTTAAAAGAGTGATATTTCTCTGGGTTTGGGGCCACTTAGGAAGCTCCAAAGCATTCTGCTCACTTTAGTGGCTATTAGGCTGATGTATTTCTCAGCTAGCATAGCTCTGAGTCTGCTGGTTTTCAAGGCTACCATGGAACTTGGGAATAGGGCAAATCAAGATGCCACAGAGCTCACTATTATTACCTAGATTCAACCATTTTTTTTTGAATAAACACTCAGTGATGGTCATAAGCCTTTGGTTAATTTCTAGAGTTTTGGAAATTTTTATTTTGAAAACTTTTGTCTGTGTTTTCATTACTTTTATGAAGGAGCAGATTTTCAGGGGCCCTTACTCTACCATTCTGAATGTGTTTCTCCCACCCTATTTAATGTAAACTTCCTTTCTTATACCCTCTCCGAGTTCATTGTTCTATTTTTCCATAAAACATATTATAATTTGTAATTACGTATTTATCTGCAAGTTTAAGTTTTTAATGTCTCTTTCCCCATTAGATCAAGGACTATTCAGTCAGAAATCATATCTCTTTTGTTCTGCTCTGTATACTTAGGATTTAGCACAATGGCTACCACATAGTTGGGATGTAATGAGTACTTCATTGACTTTATAGATTCGTTCATAAATGAATGAATATGTCTTCTCAATGTCATGATAATTAAGGTTAATGTTGCCTTGCCTTTCTGAAGAATTTGTTGTCCTTCCTCTTATGGTGACTATGTGAAGTTACTAAGGAAGGTAACGTCAAGTGGTTATTATTCATGAAGAAGAATTGAGTTTTGAGCATTATCAAGAAGAAATAAATTTTGAGCATCTACCTATGATGCATAAAGCTGGGATCAGCTTCACTACCACCTTACAAAATAATTGCCAGACTTTCTTCAATTTTACAAATTTTATTGAACTCACTAGAGAGCTGAGATCACAGGGCAGGTAACTAACCCCAAATATAATAAGACAGGAATCTCCAAAATGGGCTGAGACAAGAGCCCTTGCCTATTTGTGATAGAAGCTCCTGGGTTCCAAACTCGCTGATACAAGAATTCAGCTACCTTTTTAAACTAATCACTAAAGGCTGAGTGCATGCTAACTTGGGACTACAAATCTCTTGCAAATTCAGACACAAGGGGAATTTGCACTCATTTACATCCTTTTCTCCACAGACCAAGCACCAAGAAAAATTGGTGGCAGGGTGAGATTTCTGAGAATACTGCTTTCATGGTGCAGGCCTAGGAGAGGGGAATTGTAGCCACTGCAGAAAGAGCATGAAACACACCCAGATTCTTCTCTCTTACCTTTCTATGGAATAAAAGCTTTAAGTCACTATTGCCCTTAGGTGCTGAAAAAACTTCATTAGAATTGATA